AATGGAAGTATGAGTGTTTTAGTTAGCTAACAGAGCCTCTACCCTTTATCATCATCATTAAAACACAATGGTCCTTGGAGCAGATATAGTCCTTGTCTGGATTTAAGTTCAACAATGCATTGAAACAGATGATTCACAGACTCAAAGAGTTCTGCAACATCACAACTGCAAACATTCCGTCAGGAGACTTTTCAAAAGTTGGAAAATTAATTGCAAACCTAGAATTATAATCCAGGACACTGGGATGTCTATATGAAGGTACTAATCTCATTTCTATCTGATTAAAGTCATATTAACAAAATATCAAAAAATAGCAACTAACATAATTTGCACATTTTGTTCTCCAATGTTCCAGGTAATAACTTTGCTAATCTTAAAATCCAGGCTACATCAGCAAATGTATCATGTTCACCATAAATTCTCTGTTGTTTATCACAATTCTTCAGCAACCATGCCCTTTAGTTACATAAAATATATTTCTGTCTCAGGACTTCTGCACTTGTTATCCTCTTTGAAACTTTTGCCCAAACCTTTACTGGTCTAGCACCTTTTCGTCTCTATGATTTGAAGTCACACATTTTGCTCTAAAGAGTTTAATATCAATTGTTTAAATTGTGGTGGCCATTATATTTACATATGTGAAACTATATACACTTTGGATTTCATATTTTGCCTGGGGACTACTCAACATATTATATACAGTATATTATACACAGTATATTTTGAATTATACTATACTTTGAAATATACCATATATTTTAACATACACTGTTTATATATAAATATGCTAAATATAATAGATATATTCAGTATACTAAATACACTATATTAAGTATACTTAGAGATTATATATTTTAATATGCCTCAATAAATATATCTAAATAAATTTTAATCCTAGGTTCTTTTTCATAAATGTACCTGCCCTTCAGGTACTACTATTCTTATATTCCATCAAAATTTAAATCTATGATATATAAGCCTATGAATTTACTATAAATATATTACATTATTCAAGAGTCTCAATAAATATCAGCTCACTGAATTTCTATAAAATTATGAAATAAACACTCTTATTCCCATCACAAAAATAAGATAATTAAGATATAGCTGGTTCATGTAAGTAGCTCAGGATCACTAAACTAGCAAGTGATGGAAGGGAAATCCACTCATTTTGCCTCCAATGATGTACAGTTCCTAAACCAAAAACCCAGCATGTGTCAACAACTCCTCCATAACTCACACCAAAAAGGTTGCAAGGTTCTAGTGATTTTATCTTCCTGATGTTTTTCTAATGCATTCCTTCCTCTTTAACTCCAGTGCCTTAATTTAATCTCTTAATTTTACTTACGGAAATACCATAGGAGCCTCATCACTTTTCACTGTGCCCTTTCCACTCTGCTAAGACTGACCTGAGACAAAAAGCTGATCATGTTATTTTCCTACTCTCATCAAGACAAAATGCAAACACCTTAGCATAGTGAATAAGCCCAAGAAATTTCATTTGCTGTCATCATTCCATATAAATCTTGTAATACACACATACTCACACCCTATAATTTCTTAAAAATACATTGTACTTTTCCTTAATCCTTGGGCCTCCTCTGCGTTGAAAGATATAACCTTTCTAATTGTTCCTTTATTTCCCTGTCTCCCTTATTTTATTGAGATAGCTCTTATAAGCTGACACTGAATATATTCCATGGTATTTGGCTCATCTTAAACCCTGGGTAAGCACACAGTAAGGAATGGGCATACTAGTGAACATCAAACTGAGACACATACAAAGAATGCAAATGAATTTGACACTGATGCTGTAGACTTCAATGCAAAGTTTTGATCTTAAATCTTCCCATTAACTTTAGCATGCAATGATTCTACTAAAGGTCAGCTGATAGTGTCTTAAAAGCAGGATCACCAAGCAATACAATTTGACAAAGATGGGATTTAGATCAAATGGCATAAGATAGCAGACATGTTCTGGCAGCACTCTTGTCAATGTCCACATCTATTAAGTTTGTTTACTAATTAGTCATACTATCATATTCATGTTGGGATTTCTTTAGGGTGTGGTGAAATTGGACAGATGGGTTGAAAGTCTTCCTTCAGGCGTAATGCACATAGAATTTGGCAGATGGATTTCAATAAGCAACCTTTAGGCTTGGAACACATGGGTGAAGCAGGGTAAAAAGAATGCATCATTAACTAGCCATGAGTAAAAATACAGCTGGGAATGGTGAAATTTAAAAAAAAAAAATCAAAATATATAAAGCAAAACTTAAAAATGGTACAATATTACTTCTCTTCAAATATTCAGATTTTCAAGCCACATGTTAGATATTATAGTATGTGACCTTATAAATCTAAAACTAACAAGAAAACCTGACAATAGTAAATGTCAACCTAGAATAAATTTTCTGTAATAAAAGTAGGAATAAATTCTACTTAATATTTCTATCAATTAATTAGATGAGTTTATAATTTTTTTAAAAAAAATCATCAAATAGTACTAACCTAGAAACGAAAAATCATAATGTAAAGATATTTCCCTAGAATGGATAGACTGACATAATCTAATGAAGAGGTGAGCAAACATGTCTCTAAAACTCAAAAGAAATAAAAATAAGCCTCACACAAATACATGTATGTAGAAACACATATTTGAGACCAGACATGGGAAAAAAAGTAGGAATTAGAGCTGACAATCTCGTTGGCAAGACAAATGGTTTGACATGACTGGTTAAAGTACTAAGTTTAATCTCTGACAGTATTAAAAGGAGAATCATAGAAGTCATGATGAGTGAAGCTCCTTTATTGGAATTTTCTGTTGCCTGCCTTCCCTATTTTCAAAGCCTTCCCTCTCTACTCGCATCAGTGTCGCAGGGTACTGCTGATTCATCTGCTCTACATCGCTGGGTTCTCTTTTCTGCAGACTCCTGAACAAATGGGAGCACGAACAATAGACAGGTGGGAGGTAAGAAAATGAGGTCACAAAATTTGTTTCCACATGTCCCTTTGTGTGCCAATTTCTAGGCATAAAAAAGGCCATATCTTCATCTGGTTAGCATTTCAACATGCCCTCTTCTACCTCTAGATTCCAACAAAGACTTCTTTCTCTCTCTTCATGTTAAAGGTGGTAAGGCCACACTACTTTACTATTCCTGAAGTATGCCCAGCCCCATTTCCAGTTCTGTAAATAGTTCCTTTACTTTAATCTCCTCAATTTAACCAATTCATATCCTTCATTTTGTGTTACACCCTGGTCAATAACTAACAATCTAACAAGTGCAAAGAACATAGTACACAGTATTACATTTACTGATTACAATATTCATCTAAGGTAGTTTCTTTGGTTATTTTATATATGTGGCAGATGAAGACACTGAGATGACCAAAGGTTGACTTGGTTAATGTCAAGCAGCAAATATGAGATGAGTTGTATCTGATCCCAACCTATGTGACTTAGAGACCATGCTGCTAACTGCTATATTCTTGTCACTCTATTCCGGAATAGTTCTTTTAAATGAAACATAATGTGTTTAGAATCAACGCTAGGAAAAGTGAAGAAATCTCACAACTCTGAGCAATATGGAAAGTGTGCAAACTTATTTTCTGAAATGCAATTTGTATGATATTAAGGACCTTAAAAAAACGTTCTTACTCCAGGCCTATTGATTCTAATTAAGAAGATGGTGAATCTGGGTGAGGACATGTTAAAATAGACAGATAAGGATCATTGGAAGAGAACCAGAGAGGGAGCCACTCCAGGAAATAGGACAGAGTCAGCCAACAGCAAAGGGGCACTTGGAGAGCTATGCACCAAGAAGCAGCAAGAACAGCTCAGTAGCAATCAGAGCTTCACTCAGAGATGCAAAAGCTAAGGACAAGGATAACCAAAGTGTACGTCCTCTACTTTAAAGCACAAGTTTAAGTGTATGTGTGTATATGTAGGAAATAAATGACTGATACAAAAATTAAATTTATATTTATATTTGGGAATATTTGTGAATACTTTATAATGAAATATTATTATTTCCAGTCATTTTCTTTTAAAATGATCTTTTGGAGAAGACAGCAATTGCTTTATTAAGTTTAGGAGCAGCTTATTCAGGAACAGTATCCACACTGCATTTCAACTCTCATATTTACTGCCTATAACAGTTCCAAGTAGATAATTTATCTAAAACAACACATGATTTTGTTTATTTGTTTTCTTATTTAAGTAAGTCATTGTGCCAGATCTTGTCAACGTACTATACTGGATCCACTCCATTTTGCCTGTCCTGTGACTCCAGCTTCATGTCCCACTTCCCAGCAGGAGGGACATCTTTTAGCAACTGCTAAATCTCTGGCTCTCTTGCTTAACAATCCAGGGAGACAGAGACAGAGCTAGTTCATAATCATGGATGAGGTGAATTTGTTGCCTTTTTTGCTCTACTTGTACCATATAGTTCCAATATATTGTGGTTGTCCTATGTGTTTTTTCTCTCCTATTTCTTTCCATTTTCTTTTCCTTCCATTGACACACTACTGGTATGATATTATCAAATACAGCATTAGTATATAAGGCTTGTTTTCAGATCTGTTTGAAGAAAACTTTATCAGGAAAGCAGCTGAAATTTTTATAGTGAGTCAATTGATCAAACGATGTCAAACTTGTCCTCTGAGATCTGAAACAATGGGCCATGAGTAAATTCTGATACAAATAACTAAAGGGAAAAGTGGCATAGAGTCTGGAAGACACACTAAAAAATCCTGAAATAAGAATTTGGATGATGAAGTTCTTGGAATAGAAGTGGGATCTGATGATGCCAGGCATGTGAAAATGAGCAACAGAAGTTAGCTTTGTCCACAATTGGAGTTCTTGGAAGAAAACCTTCACTGTTAAACTCACTCACTCCTAGACTTAGCCCTCCAAATATCCATTAAGCACACCTAGTGATAACATGAGCTTTCCAGAGCCTCATTCCCGTTATGTTCCCAATCCTTGTGCTTTTACTCACCAACTTTTAACTCCCCGCCTGCAATGACCATGCATGCCATGCTCAGAATGTTGCTTCTGTCCACAGGAAATTCTAAAGTCCCCATCACGTAAAGGCCTTTTAGGGATGGAAGATCTGTATCCACCAGGACAGTTCTGTCTACAGGAGAAAAACAAAGTGTTCATGGATGTAATGTAAACTCAAGTCCCCATCCTCTTCTTTCTGCCAGAGTACTAGTTCTTCCAATAATTCAGCAGCTGCTTACATTATTACCTACCACAGATAACTAGCTGATAAACTTGAGGTTCTAACAAAAGGTAGACGTAGAAGATAAGAAACTATTATCAATAAATGTTGCCACTACTTTACAAAAAATGGTTATAGCCAAAACTCATTGTTTATGCTTCTAATACTTGCCTCAAGCAAACACACAAACGAGTGTCCTAATATTTGTGTCTGTCCCTTTAAATTTGATCTGAACTTTGAGAAGATATAGAAAAGTACATATGACCCTGTCTCTGGAAGTAGACTATTTGGCTGAGTCCTTTAGTTCTACCACTTACTAGTTGTACAGACCAGCAGCTCTGTCTGTCTGTCTTGTTATCTCATCTGTTAAATGAGGATAAAAACTAAAGGGTATTCATTTTATTCATAGGTTTCCTTTAAGAGTTAAATAATTCCAGAAACCTAAAGTGCTTACAAACTCCAGGGAGCTGTATGAAACCTCATTTCTAAGAGAGTAAAAAACAAACAAACAAACAAAATACATGGAGCCTGTCATTAAATGCAGGACATCAGCCATCAGCAATATTTGTACTGTTTGCTGTTAGCATGTATGCTTATAGAGTTTCCTAGACAAACTTTTCTGCTCTTTCCCACTGAAGTTAAAAAATAACCACAGTTTATCTGAAATTAAAAACAGAAAGGGTTAGCACCATGGCACCAGAGGTAATCCTTCTCCTGAGGTGCTGGCATCCCTTGGGTGTCAGTTACAGTCCCAGCTGCTCTACCTCTAATACAATTGCTTGACAGTGTGCCTGGAAAAGTGGCAGAAAAATGGCCTAATTCCTTGGGCACCTGCACCATGTGGAGGACGTAGAAAAAGCTCCAGGCTCCTGGCTTTGGACTAGCCAACATCCAGGCATGAAGCCCATCCAAGAAAGGAACCAACAATGAAGAACTCTCTCTTTCTCTGTATCTTCTCTTTTTGTAAATCTGTCTTTCAAATAAAAACAAAATAAATCTTAAAAAGCACAATTTCTTTAAATTTAAAAGCAGAATAATATAATCTCATTTAAAACAGTAAATATTTCATATATGCCACCATTAAATGTCACTTCTTAAAACTTAACACTGATGTTAAATAACAAATTAAAGAAATTAAACATTATGATTAAATTTCAAAAACATGACTTTGACACACGTAAAATATTTTAAGGACCGATTTTGCTAACATAATCTCATTTCTCATCAGGGAAGCAATACCTCCTGCTGTACTTCAAGGCCTGAAAGCCAAAGCTAATTAATTCACATGAGTTGTCTTTCCCGGCCTTTGTATAATTCCCCAGTTATAAGACCAGCCATGCCCTTCAAACGTAGACTCGAAACTTGTAAATCAATATTTCCTACTTCCTTCTAGGTTCCTAGTCAAGCACAAGAGTGTTATTAGAATGCCTGGAATTGAGTTCTACCCCTCTCCACACTTAGTATCAAGCTTCCCGCTAATGCACACCCTGGAAGGTGGCACCCCGGGAGACTTGGATGGATTTCTGAGTTCCAGGCTTCTGTCTGACAAAGCACTGTCTATTGCAAAAATCCTGGGGAGTGAAGCAGCAGATGAAAAAGTCTGTCTCTTTCATTCTGTTTGTGTATGTGTACATATGCATAACTATTCTTTTCTCATTCACCCAATCACTGTGACTTTCTGCCTTTAAAAAACCAATGAAACTTTAAAAACAAAATAGCACCGCTATAGAAATGTCATTTACCTATTCCAAGCTATAATTCAGTTTACCAATTTTGCCTTATGTACCTGATCAACTAAATCCTCACTTTTGACATTGAAAATTACTGGAGCAATCTACCCATATTTTCTTTGTTCATCAACCCTTTACCAGGATTTATCAAATATTGTTGGGTGGTGGGAATTCACAATGAGTGATACATGTTTTCCACATCAGATGAAAACATATACAGACTTAATATACTATACTTGAAATGATAGTGTATTCTTTAATTATACGGAGTGATAATGTCAAGTCACTCATTGTACAAAAGTCCAGTAAAATTCAACATATGCCTAAGGGAATTTTTAGTAAAGTGGTTCTACTTATAGCACAGAGATTATACAGTGGCAAGTCACATAAACAATAAGATTCACTGTGCTGTAATCTCAGAGTACAACAGACGGAGGAACAAATTATCCAGTCTTTAGCCATAATAATTACACAGAGATTTTCACTTTTTTTCCAGATGTGGTAAGTTAAGATCAACATGTCACATCACCTAGAAGTAGCATATTCTCCATGAAATTACTCAAGACATTTCAGAGTCATCAAAGAAAAACAGGTATTTATCCAACCCACTTAACACACAACATTGTTGGGCCAATTGTAATTTAATTGCAACCAATGCTTTGTTCTTCATCCTGCCTTGGCCAGGGCTATTCTATCCTACTCTGTCAATGACCAATCTATCCTATTAGAAAGAATGAACACTGGCATATGGAGGGAACCATCTGGAATTTCCACTGCTCAATGGGTGGTTGATGGGGGAGCTGATCTGGAAAGAAGCTCCAAAAAGAAATAATGAGTTCCAGATGTAATTAAAGACTGTATTCCCCTTTCTCCCACCCCAAAGGGGCTTCGGACAAACTATGGGGCGTTATCTCTTGGTTCCAAATTACATCCTCTTATCACTTGTTCATCTATCATGTACTAAGCACCCATAATCCTTATCCTTGTATCTTTTGCCAAGAGATACTTCATACACTAATAATACACTATTTTGATCATTAGAAGTATAAAGCTTTAGAGATAATATCTGGAAAGGGAAAACCTGCTGCATTTCCCTATCACCAAATACAACCAAGAAGGTTTAGTCTTTCATAAATGCATTAGCTACAATATAGCCAAAAAAAGAAAAAGTTTAAGCAAATCAAAGGATGGCTATTTCTGACAGATGGCGAGCGCTTCTGTTGTCTCAGGAATAACTTGATAACTATGTTACAAAGCCTTCCATACACTCTCAACACTAGATTTAAACTCAGATTTCCCCAGCAGAGTTAGGGAATCAAGGCCACAATTACACAGCATTCCAAGGGTCTGACACTCGTCTAAATCCTGTAGAAATAAGATCAAGGGCAAAGGGCAGAGATTCTGAGAATAATGATGGAGTCATGGCAGGAAAGCCCCGTTTTGTATGGTACTCAGTGTATCAGGCTCCATAACTTAGGTGGGGAAGACAGTTTTTACTACAACCCTGTCATTGTCAGAAACAGAGCCTACACCAACTTCGGACATAGCTGAGGATGACTGAGGCAGACACACAGAGGGCACACAGCACCTTTTGTAGGCTTCTTATCTTCCTCTATCTTTATAACTAATGAGTTTATTTCTACAGTAAGTCTTAGCCTGATATTTTTCATGTAAACATGTGAACAAAGTCAAATAACATTTTAGTGTTATTTGAACATTGTTGAATGATCTAGTCTGTTTAAAAAAAAGAGAGAATGTTTTTAACTCACATGTTGTTGCCTTAAGTATTTAAATATATATCATATATATCGATTGATAGTGTATTTTTTTCCTTCATGCTTTCATTTAACTTTGGAGGAATCTAGTGATTTATTCAAATACTCATCATTCATGAGTTGACTGATACGCCAGAGAAAAGCACCCCTTAAATAGGATGGAAGTACTCACTCATAAATAGTTTACTGAGATGAAAGTTTAACATGATTGAAAATTAGTGTCAACCAGATTACTGAGATTATGGCATTCAGTTCTCAGGGTTTCACTCTGTTAAAAATGAAGTACTGGAAGATAAGGATGCATTTTTTTTTCTGTGACAAAGAAAGAGCTGCTAATATTATAGCCTGCATTTTTCATCGAATCCACACAGGTGGTTTCCTTTACTGTACTTTTTTTTCAAACTGGTCTTAAAAACAGGAAGATGCTGTTTCCAAAAGCCTGAAGATACTGATTCCAAGCTATTTTCCCAACACCTTGAAGAGAAGCCATCTGCTTGCATGGCAGCGTGTGTGTGTGTGTGTGTGTGTGTGTGTGTGTGTGTGTGTGTGTGTGTGTGTGTGTGTAAAGAGGAGAAAATAAAAATGTGAGGAGAGAAGTAGTCACTATTATTCTCACTTTGTTGGAAGAGGACCATTTAAACATTAGATAATGAATTCTCATCCCACTTCCCACATATCCTCTGTCTTTCTCATTCACTCACAGGCACACATAATTTCCATGCTAGAATCAACATTTTAAATTATGATATTTTAATTGATCAATAAAATGTTTAACATACAATGTTTATCTCTTCCTCTAGTCTACACCATCTGTTCTTCAAAATTATTGGAATCTGTTTAATAGGAGGTTTTCTCGGTCCCATTATCAGCACGAGTGGATTCATCCTCTGCATTGCAGACTGAGAGAACATCTCACACTGCTGCTGTATTCACAGAATGAATTCTCTCAGGTTTTCCTCCATTTGGGTTCTTTTTTTTTAAATCTAAAGATGGTATTCTAATATTTTCTCCACAAGAACTAAAATAGAGAGCAGACAACATGATGTCACCTGTAAAATAAGGCCAGAGGTGCTCTGCTTGCTCACATGGCTCGGGTTTCAAATAAATCTATAGGTGAAAATGGAAGAGTACACATTTCAATCAAATTGAGGTCAAACATTAAGCTACAGTTTGGCTTTATGCACAGAAGTGTAGTCTTCCGAATATTGTCAATGAATACTAGATAACCTGAGATTTGGGAATTAAATTCCTCTCCAGTTCGAATATTGAACAAAGCTTATATTTATGAAAAAATAGAAACTGGCAACTCTCAGGTAATTCAATTATTTAATTTTTACAACTTGCAGTTAGTGCCAAACTAGGTACATGTGTTTGATTTTGTTTTCGTTGGAGACATAACGTGATCAAC